TGAGGTTATTTTTGATCGAATATCTGAAAAGGGAAAACCACTCCCTAAGTCTCTGAACTACAGTCAGACAGAGAAGAAGCTGCCCCAGCGGCCCCCTCTCGTGCGGCGGACCCATCCGCACTCTGTGAACAAAGGCACTCGCGGCTCTGGCGGCAAAGCGACCGCGTCACCTCCGCCACCAGTGCTGGCGAGGAATCCATTCTGAGGCACAGTGCTTCCTGTCGCCAAACCAAAGACCAAGAACAGGATGCCCGTGATTCCCGACTGTAGAGCCCTGTGAAAATACACACCCTTCCCTCAGGGAGACGTGCTGGGAGTAACTAGATCCCTCAGCAACACCTCCTATCGAGCTGAGAGTCCCCATCATCTGTTCAAGATGGGTGTTTAGGACAGCGGTGGGAAGGAGGGCAAGGGGCACAGTAGTCGCCCAAACAAACAAACAACAAGCACAAGAGCTACTGGAACAGTGAGCGCCAAGGGCCCTGGCTGTGGGGAAGGGCCTTGCAGGTGCTGGGGAAGTTCCCTGAGGAAGGCATGCGTCCTCCCCTCCCGTCCTCTGGTCCCTCCACAAGATCTGAGGGATCCACCCAGGGGCCCTAGGGGAGGGACAGCTGGTGGTGGTGGTGGGGAGGGACTATAAGACATGTGAGCAGAGGCTGGGGTTCTGTAAGGTTTGGTCTGCACCCTAAGAGACTAGAAGGAGTGTGCATTTCAAACGCATTGTTTGCTCTCTGACTGTGGATGGGAGGACGCTGGGCGGGAAGAAGGGATGTAGGGCTGACGGGTTGTGTGGCTCTGACAGTCTAGGTAGGAGAGGACAGTGCTGAGGACCCAGGCGTGGGACAGGGAAGAGCTACGTGAGGTCGGGAGGTGACAGGACTGGGTGATGAATGACAAGAGGGCACCACCGTGTCCCCTAGGTGGCGGCATGCACAGAGGCTGGGTCAGGGGCGTCATGGACCGCTGACAGGCTCGGAGACCACAAGTCTGGCTCGGGCACGTCGCTTCTGAGCTACCAGAGGCAACACCAGGAGAAGATGGAAACGCCAGCCTGGAAAGTGGGGTCCTCTGTTCCTCTTCGCTGCCTTGCGGGAATGCCCTCCAGCACTTCGAGTCTTTCTCTAAGATCCTCCCTGGCTGTGAACGTGACCTCCTCTCCAGACAGCCTGTCCCCTGATGGAAAGCTGATGGGTGCGATGCCAGCAACAAAGCCACAGCCATTAGTCGTTTTCCAGCTGTGAATTAGTAACCCCCGCCCTTTGGTAATTGTACATTTAAGTTTCCTTTTCCCCTTTGAGCATGGGGAAGGGAATGCTATTTAACAGCTCCCTGACAGAGAACACGGCAGTGTACCCTCCAGCATGTTTTCCACACCCGTCTCCAGCAAACAATGGGCGGTCACTCTGAGCAGAACATCTCCTGGCCCCTTTGCCACAGGCCTCTGTAAGGTGGCGGTGCCCACAGGCCTCTGTAAGGTGGCAGTGCCCACAGGGCTCTGTACGATGGCAGTGCTCACAGCCTCTCTGTGTCTGAAGCTTTCCCGCTGGCTGTCTCCATTCTTGCCCCTGTAACTGCTGACCTAAAGCCACCAGGCATGGAGGAAGCTGCATATGCCCCCTGGGGTTCCCAGCAGCTTGTGACTTCGGGAACATCTCCCCTTTTCATTAACTCCTTCATGCAGGCTTCTCCTAGGTGCGCTGTTCTCAGCTCTGCCACAGCGGCACCTGCTGTCAGATTCCAAGATCCAGTACTTCCTCCGCCTCCACGCAGGGAGCGTGCGAGTCGTCCCTAAGCAAGGACTGACCCTCTCAGCAGCCAGGACAAACAGCCATGAAGCAGAGGCTCAGGGTGCGAGGAGAATGCAAAAGCCTCCGGCCTTGAATTTTGGTAACTGATAACTAAGACGTCCCCTCATCCCACCCGACAAGGACGGCCTCGCGGGGTGCACCTCGGGACAGGAGCAGGTGGGCCTGGAACCCCGAGGGGCTCGGCAGCCCCGGCTGTGAGCTCCCCTGAGCGATGCTTGAGGGCTGGGCTAACCAGGTGCAGCCTTCCCGCACCCTGAACGGACCAGTCTGTTGGCTAGAAACAAAGCATGTGGGCCTGGGCTCTCCAGCTCATGGGTTCTGCCACAGCAACATTTTGTAAAACCCTCTGAGAAGAATGTCCAGGGTTATCGCGTTGGGAAATACATAAATACAGTCATTCCTGATTTAAAACACCTCTAACATTCTGTAGATTTCCTGAACGAAATGCGGCCTCGCACAACAAAGTTACTTAGTTTAAGCAAAAACACGATTTAAAATTGGGTAAGAATGTTGCAGAAAAGGCCTGAAAGCTGAAAAGAAAAAGTTCTTCCAGGCACCCCGCCCCGAGAGAGGAGGGTCCCAGTCAAAGGCAACCAGACACAGCTCACTTTCAGAGCAAGAACAACGCTGCGGCCAGGCTGTGCGGCACTGTTTCTCGTTACTTCAAGAGATTACATTAACTAGAAAAGCTTTAAAACTGCATTTTCGGAGTAAAAATGTCTATCAGTGTCTGGCGGGGGGAAGAGTCCTGAACAGATATGAATTGTTAATTTCAAATACTGGATACTATTACTCAGCTTTTTTGGGGTGTATTTTATTGATTTTTTGCAGAGAGGAAGGGAGAGGGATAGAGAGCCAGAAACATTGATGAGAGAGAAACATCGATCAGCCACTTCCTGCACGCCCCCCACTAGGGACGTGCCCGCAATCAAGGTACATGCCCCCGACCGGAATCGAACCCGGAACCCTTCAGTTAGCAGGCCGACGCTCTATTCACTGAGCTAAACCGGCTAAGGCACTCAGCTTCTTTAGTACCTGAACAGTGCGATTCACCACATTCTACTGCGAATCCTCATAATCAAACGAGGGATTTCTTTGCTCAAAAGGGGAAACATAACAACTCATCTACAGAATCCTCGACTTTCTCCATGTGGCACGTGTCTGCCTGGCACTGCCTGTTAAAGAAGGAACAGCTCCCCGAGTGTGCTCTCCCCAGCCCCACGCACCCGCCACACCCTCATCTCACAGGAGCACCCCTCTCCTCACTGCCACTCCCTCACTGTGCGCCTTCGCCACCCAGTCCTTTCTCAGCCTCTCTCCTGGCTCCAGCCCCTGGGGATTCTGACTTGAGAAAGGGTCGCCATAGGGAGCTGGGAACCCTGCTTCCTCTCCCAGAGAGAGACTGATACATGAGAACTGGCTCTTCAAACTGCCCACCGAACTTGAACCTGATAGCTGTCCATGCGGAAACAGACGAAAGCACAAACAGGAGTTTGCTGCAATGAGCTGTTAGGTAACGCAAAAGCGTGTGAAAACCAAACTCCTGAACCCGCAGCTCTCAAACACGCACCACACGTTTTCTCACAGCCAAGCTCTGCTTACAAAAAAAAGCACAACAGGTTCTGTTTATTGCAAAGTGCAAAGGAAAGATGATTTAAGATAGAAATAAAACACGACGTCTTTCTTCTGTGGAAAGAATGCCGTAGACATGAAATACAAAATTCAGAGCTAACGGGGCGGGGCTGCAGAGTCGCGCCTGTGCCAAGCCTCCAGCAGACCCACGCGGAAATCCGACATCGCCCTTTCCCTGGTCTCAAATGAGGAGGAGGTGCTGTGTTCTAGGACGCTCTCCGGACGCTGCTGGCTGGAGCGCAGACCCGAGCTCCGCGTGCTGGTTAGCTAACATTGATTTTCTGCCCCAGTGGAGGAGATTGCACTCTGATGCATGCCATTTAAATTCATTTTACACAGCTGCTTAATGTGGCTTGGCAAGGCACAGGCGAGCGAGCTGCGTGGGGCCAGATAGGACTCCCGAGGTGGGAAGGACAGATCCTATGGATTAGCAGCTGATGCAAATGCTCTTCTCTCCCCACGACCACCTTCCCACGGGCTCAAGCAGTGACCTTGAAGGTGCCACAAGGAAGGAAAAGAGGAAAAGACAATTTCCCCAAAATGTGTGTTCACCCAGTCCTCTACCTGTTACTGCATTTTTAGGATCATGTTTATAGAATTTTCTATTTATTGGTCCACATTTATGACCATGTTGACAGGATTTAGAACTCTCAATTGCAGACTTACCATTTGCTCTCACTGTCGAAATAAATGTATCCTGAATATAAAGACGATTAAAAAGCTCTCCATCGCCCATTCATAACTAGTGAAAACATACTGCATGAATTTAGTCCTTAAACAAAGCTCGCTGACCGTTTCCTACTTTAACCAAAAATGTGGTATGTTTCTATAGAAACTATCTAGTGCACATGATTCAATCTATGTAGGATAATCTTACATTACTATACAAAAAATGTCCATCATAATTTTTGCTTTGTAAGTCACTCAGTAATAACATACTTTAAAAGCATTCCCTAACCTAAGATAGTGTAGCCTGATAATAGTTTTCTAGTAGGAAAGAGACCCTTTTTGTTGCTGTCTGTAATTCCTGTGTTGTAATTGATAATACGGCCACGCCGTGTTCTGAGAGAAAATTCTGTTTAGGATTATCTGGTTGTATTTTCCCAGGGAATCTCTGGCCAAAGGTGGCCACTGCACCTGGAATTGAGGGTGTGCAGGAGCAGGTTGGTGAGTGACAGTGACAGTAACACCGTCATGATAACACAACACAAGTACCTGACAACACACGACAACAGTGGGGGAATGACACCAGAGCAGGTCATCTCATTACTTTCCACAGAGAAAATGTGGATTCGTCTCAGGCATGAGGGAAGAAGCCATGCCGATAGCCATGCAGACAGATCAGGGACAGCATGCAGGTTGCTACCCAACCAGCACAGTGCTGGTGATGAAAACAGAACAAAACAAACAGAAAGAAACAAAAAGACAACCCCTCTGAGATGGATTTCCTTCGAGGTCTTTCACTTTGTTTTGGGTGTTACTTCTGCAGCCAGATGGCACGTTCATTAACAGTTTAAAATCGCCCAGGGCCCCAGCGAGTCAGGGTCTGTTGCTACCTACCCGTACTGGTCAGGCTGGTGCATCATGGGAGCCTGAGAGTTGCCATAGTTGGGGTGCTGGGAAGAAAACAGGGGGCGTCCGCCAGCCCCAGACTGGCTGGGATAAGCAGGCGACCTAATGTATGGTGGCCTAAAGCAGAACAGAAGAACAACTTCTTTGGATTTGTTCTGTCGACAGTATGAACACCCCTGTCCACCTGTCATTTCCACACACAGGTGTGGAGGGTCACAGATGTGGTGTAATACTCTGTACCATGCAGCTGCCTGCAGTGGAACGAGGTACTTTCCTTAAAAGGGGGTGGGGAGTGCGCAGGACGAAGGAGAGAACAGTAAGATTTTCAGATCTCATCTCAGTTCAGTTTCTGAAGTACAGCTTTGACTTTAGTCAAAAATACAGTCCATTTAAACTCCTGGAGGCTCACTTGGGCGGCGCCTGCAGGCAGGCAGTGGAATGGCCTCCCGATTGCAAATGGAAGGAAAATGCATGGATGACAGTGATTCCTGCCTTTCTGCAAAGTGACAGATGAACTGACTCCAAGGGAGCACGGCAGGAGTTCCTAATCAACATCTCTATGGTCATCTCCTTCCCAGATCACTAGCCAAGGCCTCCAGTCAAATTCAATCAAGTGCTTTCTACTCAAATACCAGTCAAACCAGTCCTCACAGACAGGTTCATTAAAACATCCCCTGAATCTGCACAGGTTTGCGTGAGAGGTACATTGCTGGCATACAGGAGGTTCTAATTGTAATGGGGATGAGAGAGAGATGGAGAGATGGGGAGGAGAGAGGGGAGGGAGAAGGAGAGATGGAGAGAGAATGAGTGGTTTCATTTTGATTCCTCAAGGGAAATTTTTCATTATTTGGAGGAAACAGTGAGATTGGAGGGGTCCCTAACATTCCCAAATAGCAGCTTCAGAGGGAAGGTAACAAAGGGACACATTTACACGCACGCACGCACACACACGCACGCTTTTATCTCCCTTTGGAAAAAAAAATCAGAACCTTCTATCATTTCTTCAAGGCACCCTATTTTCATACATATGTTTCAATTTGCTTTTTAAAAATTAATTAATTAAAAATATTTTTATTGATTTCAGAGAGGAAGGGAGAGGGAGAGATAGAAACATCAATGATAAGAGAGAATCATTGATCGGCTGCCTCATGCACACCTCCTATTGGGGATCCAGCATGCAACCAAGGCATGTGCCCTTACCGGGAATCGAACCATGACCTCATGGTTCATAGGTCGATGCTCAACCACTGAGCCACGCCAGCTGGGCTCAATTTGCTTGTTTTATATGAATTTTAGTATAAGTTAAACATAAAACATATATACAAGTGCTTCTCTGAAAACATTCACTCTGGCCTTCGAATTTTTAAATTCAATGTTACTTTTATATAGGCCAAGTATTTACTTTAAGAATTAATTTTAAAATCAGGATTGAAATCAAATCATTGAGGATAAAATCCTCCTGGATCAAATTAAACTTCCTGAAATATTATCTTTGCATTAACCTCATTTTGGTTTGGACAGACAGGTATGGCCAGAAAAATAAAAGATAAGAATATGAAGGATGAATCTCACACATACACACTTAGACAAACACACACAATACACATATGTGTACAAAGTTTCTTTGCCATAAACATTTTATGGTGGGGGGACAAAAGGGGGACGTTCTTTTTCAATGTTGTAGATTTTAACTGGTTTACAGGCTTGAGGTTTCCTGCGCAAACCTGGCTATGTTAAAGGGGACCCCAGCCACGCCTAGGCCTGGGCTTTGGGGGGCTGCTCAGTGACCATTCACAGCCATTTCAAATGACGCCCCACAACCGACTTGCCCACCACTCAGATTCCTTCTTTGGTGCCTCAGAGAACTGGCCTGTCATTTGTTTTTCTGAGCCTCCCGGCCAAGCAAAATGACTTGCTACTGCTCTGCCCCCATGTGACCCGGGGACCACACGGTGCCCAGCCCCGTTCACGCACACACCAGACCGTCGCCCCGATGGCATACCTGCTTTGTGCTGAGTTGGCAGCGGCCTGCATCACTGCGGCGGCTGCCTCCTGTGCCTTACGGTTCACGGTTGGCATCGGCGGCCCCATTCCTGGCCCGCCCTGCTGAGACATGCCAGGAGAGCTGGGGGTCATGCTGCTCATGTTTCCAGGAAACGGCCTGTTCTGCATCCCGGCTGATGGCATTCGTCCCAGGGGCATAGCACCACACGGCTGGCCTGGCCCTGGCCCGTGCATCTGGTTGTTGGCATTGATGCCCACACCAGGCCCCGGGCCGCTGTAGCTTGCACTGGGCACCCCACTATACGTTGGGGGTCTGGAGTAGTTACCTAAACAAAAAGCAAGCAAACACAAATTAGGGCCTTTTACTTACTATCTGGACTTGTGAAACATTCACTGGAAACTTTCTGTCCAACACCGTGATCAACACAGAACATTAGTCATTCCTATTAACCCTTCCCTGTGGGCGCTGCGAGGCGGGCAGCCTCAAACACGCTCTTTCTGCACATTCCAGAGGCAGGAGCCACCCAGGACAGCGCGACATGGAGGGCAAATCCAGGCTAATCATTAGCTCATTCATGAACAGGCCAGGGATGCTGACGCCAAGGCTGCTCCGTCCCCCACACCTCCCATTCCTGCCCTTCAACCCAGGCCATTGCTCCGGCCCCTCTGCCGGCAGAGGACTGTGGGGCCACACCCAGTTCCGATGGAGGGTTCCGGACGGCGTGGAAGACAGGCGCACAGATGGCCCAGCCCAGCCTCCGAAGCACCCCGGGGGAAGGAGGGGCACGCGGAACCTCGCCATGAGTCCAGCACCGTCCGCTTTCCTCGGGTGCCGGGAACACTTTTTTTTGGCTTGAGCACCAGGTAGAGCGGCTGGTTTGTGCTTGGTGCCAGGTCTTATGAAATACAGTTTCAAGCAGTGGCATGACACTCCACACAGTGAGGTGGTGGCACCTGGGAGCAGCAGGGCCTGAGATGAGGGTCTCCGACCACCCCCACACCACCCCGCTCACACTGGGCACAGGCGCCTGGGGAGAGCTGCAGCTGCCATGGCCTGGGCTCCATGTCAACGGTTTTGCTTCCTTTCTCCTCTATGCCTTTTTTCTTTTGATTGAATATACATACATTAAACCCAACTCAATGAAAGGCACACCTACCGCCACCCCAGCAGTAACACCTGCGGAACCACAGTGCGGATGAGACACTGGCAAGGCTTTGCGCCGACTTCCTTCATTTCTCTGACAGCCACGTGGAATACAGACACGACCACGATTCCATTGATAACTAGTAGCTTAGGATTCAAGTCCAAGCAAACTGACTCTGGAACCCATGCAATTAACCAATACAATACACTGCCTCCCAATAAGTGGCTGTTGAAATACAACACACGTGGAAAGACGAGTGCATAACCAAGAACTAGTGTTCCACTACTTTCTGGAAGTATCGCCTCACCCATACAACATATGTGTTCTAGGCATAGGGGATACTGAGTTAAATACAACCCAATTCCTGCACCCAGGCAGCTCACTATCTAAGCATGTGTGTTTGTGTGTGCGCATGTGTGTGTGAGGTGGAGTAGCAAAGGGAAGGAAAAATAACACACAGAAGCAAAACAAAAAGTCAGTGCACAGTGAGAAGCAGAGAGCCTAGAGCAGCGGTTCTCAACCTGTGGGTCGCGACCCCTTTGGGGGGCGGGGGAGGCGGGTCGAACGACCCTTTCACAGGGGTCACCTAAGACCACCGGAAAACACATATATAATTACATATTGTTTTTGTGATTAATCACTATGCTTTATGTTCAATTTGTAACAATGAAATTACATCCTGCATATCAGATATTTACATTACGATTCATAACAGTAGCAAAATTACAGTTATGAAGTAGCAACAAAAATAATTTTATGGTTGGGGGTCACCACAACATGAGGAACTGTATTAAAGGGTCACGGCATTAGGAAGGTTGAGAACCACTGGACTAGAGGAAGTGTGCTTGGGGACACAAGGTGCTCCACGGCAGTGGGGCTAGTGAGGCCTCCTGGAGTGGAGGCCTGTTGGCGGGGCCTGCATGAGAAGCCCGCGTGGGGGGCTCTGGGATGGGTTGCTGGCGGGGCCTGCATGAGGAGCCCGCGTGGGAGGCTCTGGGATGGGCTGTTGGCGGGGCCTGCATGAGGAACCCGCATGGGGGGCTCTGGGATGGGTTGTTGGCGGGGCCTGCATGAGGAGCCCGCGTGGGGGGCTCTGGGATGGGTTGTTGGCGGGGCCTGCATGAGGAGCCCGCGTGGGGGGCTCTGGGATGGGGCGAGCTGGAGTGCGTGAGGCTCTGCATTGCTGACGGTGTGGCCTAAGGTCCGCTGTTTTTACTGTTTCACTCTCTTCTCTGTAAAACAAAGACACGCCTCTCTAACACCGACGGCGTGAAGAGTTGTTGGGGCTCTATGACAAACGGTAGGGGTTTAATATGGCAGAGGAGGGGAGAGGGCACGGACGAAAGAGGCCACAACCAACAGGCCAGAGAGTCACCGGGAGGAGGCGGCGCCTGTCCTGCTGCCAGGCCTGGGCGTCATTCTGGAGATGAGACGAGGAGCTTCCCTAGGTTTTGCGGCAGAAACTGGATTTGATTAGGAACAATAAGAGCAGATACCTGATATTTACTATGTGCCAAACGCAGCCCCAAGTTCTCTGCATAACTCACTTAATCCTCCCATCAAGCAGGAGGGGTTCCTATGACTACACTCTGCGCTCCAGGGACGGGGCGCCCGAGGCGCAGGGTGTTCCAGCTGGTCTGGGGCCACGTGGCTGGTGGGTGCAGGAGCCGGGCTGGCACCAGGCAGCCTGTGAGTGCAGCTCAGAGCCCAGGCACGCGTGGTGCAGCTGCTCAGGGGCGGAAGGAAAAACTACACTGATGTAACAGTATCTTCACCATCACGAAACCAGGTGTTCTCAGGTCCACATGAGGAAGCTGCATCCCCTGAAAATCTGCAAGGAATTCAGGCTTCCCCACACCGCTGGCTGCTTGCTCCTTGCCAGGTGCACCAGCATCAGTGCACTTTACTTGGTTGTCCGTTGTATGTCTGACTCACGCAGACGGTGCGAAGGTCACTGTCCACACAGACCACGGCCAGCACTCTCGCTGTAAAGGGCTGGATAGGCCCTTGTGGGCCAGGCTGTCTCTGTCATGACTAAGCTGCCACAGGCAATGCACACACAACTAGGCCTGCCTGTGTTCCAATAAAACTTTATTCGCAAATACAGGCAGCGGGCCAAAGTGGGCCATACTCTGCTGCCGGCTGCTGCAGACCAATCCTGGGCCAGGCTAGCAAAGGGCCCTGCAGCACAGACAGCGACTGCTAAAGCGCCTCCTGACCCTGACCATCCTCTGGAAGGCCGACGAGGAGCAGTGAGGCGCTGGCAATGTCGGCAGCGGACAGTGAGAGGGGCCAGAAGGAACAGAACAGGCTGACATGAACCCCTCAGTGGCTACCAGGGGCATGGGCCAGTATCTCCTGGCCAGCTCCTCCAATTCAACTGCCTTTTCATGAGGAAACTACTCTGCCTTTACAGAAACAATCAAGCTTACACTGTTTCAGGGAAAAGTAAAGAACATTCACTGCTCATCAATTTCCACCATCTTTATAAAAAGCTCTTGAGTTGCTGCTGACTCTCCCACCCCACAGGACCACACAGAAGGTCTGTCTCCCGTCACCACCCTGGCGGGAGGGACGCAGAGCCGTGGGCGCGCTGCAGCGACCTGCCTGGTTCCCTGCATCCCCAACGCCCCAGCAGCCAGAACTTTCCCGTGAGCAACAAGACTTCTCCCCTCCTGACCTCACATGCCTGGCTCCCACAGGATGACGACGTCAGTGATATCCAGGGCTCCTTTCTGGCTTTCACTTTATTAAAAATAAGGAAACTCATTCACAGTTTGGATGCAAATGAAATTAATTCACATTTTCATGCTCTTTCTCTAGCTCGTTTCCACCCTCCCCCAGCACGCATTTGGTGACTCATTTGGTAAGAAACTTTATGCAGTGAAAACATATGTCCTTTTTGCTTTCGAAGGAAATGAAATGACACTTCGCTCCTTTCAGAAAACAGATGTTTAGACGTGGTTGTGGCAGAGGAGGCCCCTGGCAGCTCCTCAGGGAGGGAGGCTCCAATTTGCTGACCTCGCTCACAGCTGGACCTGACAGGTGCGCCACCTGGCTTTGCACCTGGGTTGAGCGGGCAGCTGAGCGGTACCTGAAGGAGCACAGGAGCAATGACCGAGAGGCTGTCACCTGCAGCTGGCTTCCAACCTTCCCCGTCAGGTATGCACCAGCAAGGAGCTGTTTCAGGGCTTTGCTCAACGCAGCAGCTGGACTTTGTCTCAGAGCAGGAAGCGCTCTGGACTCGGTGGTCACTCATTAGAGCACAGCCGCTGGGCCTGGCACACGTACACACCGGTGCTCAGAAAGCCACCGAACGCGGCACACGGCAGTTCACCTGTCCGTTCCCATGTCCTAGTCACAGAGGCCGCTACCTGGTGGGAGAAATGCAGAGTCCCCCTTTCCTCTCCTGGAGGCTGTGGCTGTCCTGCTGCCCACAGGAAAATGGGTCTAACGGCTTGGACGGCTTAGGGCAGCAGTGACTACAGCACGGGCTCTAAAATCTGGGCTCGATGTCGGTCTGATGCTTCCTAGCGGCATAACTTGGACAAGTTACTCAATCTTTTGGACATCAGTCTGGACGTCTGTAAGTCATGCTGGTAATGGGGCACAGGCAGAAACCCACCGGTCCAGTGCTGGGCAGTCACCTCTGAATAGTAGGAACTCTTACCACCAACAATTGTTATCAATAACCATTAATAGGATTTGCCCCATCATCTTTTTAAAACGTGTGGGAAGGAGTGAGAAATGACTCATGCCCCAGACTCTCTGCCTACTTGATAGCATATCTCCCCCCCACCCCCCCCGCCCCAAATAAACAAAAAGCAAACATGTGAGCCAAGCAGCACAGGAGAGGCCAAGCCAGGACGAGCGTGCGCTCTGATTTCATGTTTCTCTAATAGATTAGTGATTCCCTGGCACCGGCTCTGACAGAAAGCAGATGGAGGCAGCAGGCAGCACAGTGCGGCAGCAGATGCAGGCCCACCCCCCTCAGCCGGACGGCCTTGCAGCCAAGACCAAGAGCCCCCAGTTTTCAAGTGGGCTCATCTTGGCACACCAGCTTCGGGAAACTGGTCACCCAGCGAATTCAGACTCCAACCCACCGGGAGTGAGGCTCAAGCAACAGACGGAGGAAGCAGGAGCTGGACTCCATTCCAGTCACCATCGTTACTTCAGGAGGG